TGGCGATCGTCAACGACGTCTCTTATCGTAAAACATATCGTAGAATGTATTGTTATAAGAATAATAGAAACTATATATATAAACTTTCGAAACTATATATATATATATATATATATATATATATATATATATATATTATAATTTTCTTTATAAGTATACAAAAAATTGCATAACAGGATATTAATAAACGGTTCATGCAATCTTCTTTTAAAAGATATTACGTTATAAATATGTGTATACATATATACAGATATAACGTAATACATATAAATATAAAGCATAAAAAAAAATCGTATATTATATCAGGACTTTTATGGTCCGAGACGCATTTTCAAAAACGATAATTTTTTAACGAGTTACTAATAATAAAATTTTCTAATGAACATATAAATTCACTCTAGTATTTGAATATTTAATGAAACCTGCATTTTTGAAATATTTTTATTACTTTAATAAATATTTTTTAATTAATTAATAAATTATTTTAGAAAGAAAGACGAAAGAAATATAGGTCTCACATAAAACGTTACTTTGGAGAGAGCGAAACTCTCGTGCAAGGAGTCGATCATTAGCTAATTAATCGCGCTACAAAGTAGTAATAGTCGTAACGGTAATAGTAGTATTAGTATTAGTAGTACCGCTCGTTCAAAAAGGAAGCGGTAAAGTGACTTTAATGGCATATTCACAAACCATGCAATAAGTCAATGATTTCATTGCCGACTCTACTTTTTCTCTTCCTACTTTTTCTTCTCCTTCTCCTCCTTTATTTTTCTTTTTATTTTTCCTGTTTTTCTTCTTCATCTTTTCGTAGTTGAAGGGAATAAATGCAGAAGGATAAAGGTTTATCGATGCATTTTCCGGGCAGTCGGCGTGGCGGCGACTAATTCGGAAAAAACGACCGACCCGACATGACTTTACCATTAGCGGACGCGTCACTCTAGTATATCGTCTACCATTGTGATTATGCTTCTAGGACACCATAACTCCTCGGCGAAGGTGTATACATGGTCGCGCCCACGCTAAGAAAGAGAGAAACAGAAAGAAGAGAGAGAAAAAGAGAAAAAGAAAAAGAAAAATAAAAACGATGATCTCGAACCCTCGCATCTGCCTTGCGAGTCTGACCTTTGACATCGAAAAATGACGATGAAATTTATTAACTATCTTCCATCGTATTGATTGTGAATTATGGGAGTGGCATGTGTGCTAAGTGCCCGACCACACTAATGCGCGTCTCTTTCTTCTAATGCGCTGTTTCTCTTATATCGTTTTTTCAATTTGAGTATACTTCTCAGAAAATAGAGATAATAATACTTGTGAATTCTATTTGCACTACTGTGAGTGTAAGCGTATCTATATCAGTCCAACGAATTTCGAAAAAAAGAAATTTTCACGTGAATAATGCAAACGACATCCCGTTCTTCTTCTTCGCGCGCTAATGTAAAACAATTATGTAAAGAGTAATTCGCGATTTGTTCGTGTGACGGATTGTATCAAAAAAAAAGAAAAAAAGAAAGAAAAAAATGAAAAAGAGAAGTGTACGTAGAATAAAAAAAAAGGAAAGAAAGAGAAAAGAAAAGTAAGAGAAACGCGGAGAACAGGGCATGGTTTAACGTACGATTTCCTGATTTTCGTAGCAATTTACCGCAATTTGTCGCCCACGTTGTACGCCAAATGCAAAGTGCACGTAGGCAGAGAGCTGCTCGCAGCGATACAAGCGAGAGCGCTTGGCTCGCTTATACGCATCGGAGCTCGTACGAGGAGTCCGTTCGTTTAACCTACAAATCAGGCTGGTTTTGAGATAGGCGTAGGCGTGTTTATGAGTGTACTCAAATATTCGTCCTCGAGTATGCTCCTTGATCGAATCTCTTTCATCGAAATCGATAGATGATTACGATACGATTAGACTTACGTATTTCCAATGGCTATACTTATATTTATAATCTTAGCAATCGAAAACTTCGTATTTCGTTCTGATTCGGAATCTTTTCTTGTCGAAAAAACGAATCGAAATGATTTTAAGTTAAGAGCGGTATTCGAATACGATATACATATAAAAAATTTCTTATTGGTCTTAACCAATGAGACGGATTCCATTTAGTCTACTAGGAAATGGAACACATGTTCATGTCGCCGAGGAATTCGACGCTATTAATTTAACCGCATTCCGATTATGTTAGCGATCTGCCGCACTCTTATAGAAGAAAGAAATGATTTTAAACGGGTTGCCTGTTAATTCTATCTCTCCTTTGTGTGTGTGTGTGTGTGTGTGTGTACATATAGAGACATATATATCTATATTGTACAAGGCTTAATGTGATTCTTTTTTCTTGTAATTAATAGAATATTTCGTTTCCGCGTATAAATAACTAAGATGAAAAAATCGTCGAGACAACGAGGACGTCATCCTCGCGAGGAAAAGAAAAAAAATTTGTTTTAAAGAATAACATCGAGGATATATTAGCTCGTTATTTGAGTCTTTATCCAACGAATCAGCATGGTAAAAAAATGGTGAAATCATCTCGAGTTAGGTTGATTCTATCTGAGCGACGCGAGTCATCGAAGATTGCACAATTTTTAAAAATAAATCCTCCCAAAGTCGAGCTCGAGTAACATAACGGCAGAATATTTTGCAGAGGCATTAATCATTCGAAGGATTCTACATTAGCGCGAGTTAGTCTACCGTGTCTATGGCATGTCCCCTCTCACCCCTTCTCACCATCTCTATTAATGAGTACTCGTGGTCTCTTTTAACTTCCGTGCATGTACAAGAAGTACGCTAATGCGGTAGCTACTCGTTAATCATTATTACAACGTAATCAAACGGCGGTAGCAGTGCACAAAATTATCGGTTGGCAAGGTACTCTTAATAAAATTAGGGATTACGCTTTTCCCCGATACAGTTTCTAATACGTTTCTTCTAGCTTGGTGGTCGTCATAAATACGTTCAATCGTAAGAATGAATCGCATAGATAAACTTCTTGAAGTGAAATACAGAAACGAGATAAATATATTATACCAAAGATGTAAAATCATTCTTCTATTCTGGAATTTGAAGATCGAATCGTAATAAGTTATGCTTAAACGACGAGTGAAGTTTGCCGGCCTCTGCTTCCCACCATTCGAGACGCGTCCAATTAGTTCGTTTTATACGAGTTACTGAACGTCCGCTTTTCTAGACTCAAGCATCCATGAAAACGTTCAATGAAAATGTTGACCAAGTTATTACTCGCAATATGGCGAAATTGCCCGTACCACTCTCGCTAAGTATTCAACGTTTCGAATCGTTCAAGTGTATATATAAAAGAGAAAGAGAGAGAGAGAGAGAGAGAGAGAGAGAGATGGGTAGATAGAAAAAGAGAGAGACAAAGGGAAAACGAAACAACTAAATTGGCCGACTACCGTTTAGAGATTTCCTCAATCATTTCATCAGTCAGTATTATCAGGGCCGAGCCGTCTGTTCTCGACGTAGGCCGGATCAATCCCACGCGATCCCATCGACTCGTTGACGTCAACGTCGTCATCGTTATCTTTTTCCCTATCTCTCTCTTTTTCTTTTTACTTCTTCTTTCTATTTAAAAGAAAAGAGAAAATAAGGATTCATTTGGTTGGCGATCGCGTACGTGGCGTAATTCTCGATATCGTGCCTTGACTAAACCCACATGTTTTATCGGCTCACACTCGAGAACCGAACGAACAAACATTTACTCTCGATTTCTTCGAATCATCACGAACTACTGTTTTTTGCAAGAAACCTTTCTCTTTCCTAACGAACCGTACATAGTCTCAAATAAAAATCTAGTATAATAGATCATACAAACGCTTTCGATCAGAACTCACGATTCTAATAATAGTTTCTTTTAAACCTTCGACTCTATTAATTCTGAAACATATCAAAGAAATAAAAAAAAGTAAAGAAAAAGTAAAAAGTATGCAATTTCACAAGGGTTCTTCTTAATTCTATAAATACGTATATTGTACAAATGTCATGTAATTAATATACGTGAAACATACTCAACACACACATATTTCTATATATCTATAAAAAATGTACATTAAATATACATCATTCGTTCGTTCGTTCATTCGCATTAACATTAAAGAAATATCGGTGGATTTATCGAACGAATTAATTTCATAAATTACGCGTACGAACGTGGATCGATGCCCAACACAAGATACCTACATACGCGAGTTCTCCAAGTATCCAACCGAGACCATTGAGTAGCTTTTTATCTTGTCCCTTCCTCCTTCTTCGTCGGACGATGAATCGAACGGGAGAAGTCGAAGAAGAATCCTCTTCCTTTCCTTCTTCACTCCCTCCTCTCTTCTTCTGCTTTCAACGTTCCTATCTGTCGTATCCATCCGTTCGACGAGGAGAAGCGTCGATCGAATCAAGTTCAAGGCGAACTCGGCTGATCAGAATGCGAGAAACATTTTCTATGGGGATACCTCAGATACCAAGTAGGGTGCAAGTTTCCTTAGAAGGGTTGTGTTCGTCTTTCTCCCTATTTTTCCTCTTCTCTCTCTCTCTTTCTCTCTCTCTCTCTCTCCCTCTCTCTCTCTCTCTTGTTCTCTCTCTTGCTTTCTTTCTGGAAAAAAAAATATTCGAGTAAACCGATCGATTTTATAGGAAAATTCTAACGTGATCCTTCGATTCTAAACGATATGATACACGAAAAATATATTCCATTCGTTTTTCATATAAACACGTTTTCTAACAGTTCTGAAAGAAACTTCCTTGATTAGATCAGAGAATTCATGGTATGTATCATTTTCTTTTCTACATACCTTTTCATTAAGGCAACGCGTTTCCGTAGGAACAGGCCCTTCGATTCTTTTTGTTAGGACAAGAAATGACATTGTATCAATGGTCGAGTTCGCGGAACGCTTTGCACTCGTTATACGTGAGAGCATTTCACAAAAACTCGCACGAGAACTTCCGTCGTCGTCGTCGTCGTTGTCCTTCGTTTTCATTGTCGTTGTCATCGTCGTTGTAGTCGTCGTCGTCGTCGTTGGTGTTGGACTAAGAACATAAAAGTACCTACATCCGCTCGTTTTATTCACAAGAGAGAAGAGGAAAAGTCCATGAAACTAGTCTGCCGACGTCCATCATTTCATCGGCGTTACGTCTTCGCAAGCAGAATGAAATCGTGTCTTGAATATCTTTCATGTGGAAAAAAGAAAGTAAGGAAACAGAAAGTAAAGAAAAAAAAAAAAAAAGAAAAAGAACAAGAAAGAAAAAGAAGAAAAAAAAAAGAAGGAGAACGAAGGTCATTTCAAAGCTGGATCTTTAAAAAAGATAAAAGAGATCCAACTTAAGATCTTTAAAAAATATTTCGATACGACGAACGAAAAATAAGAGAAAGCCTTAAGATTTTGTTTAGTTTTACCAAATAACATTTACTTGGTAAAACAATAAATTTCTTCTTGTATTATAATGTCAATATAGTGTCATTTTCATGGTCAATATCGTCAAAGAAAAGTAAGCAAAGGAGTAGTTTGATGATGACTTGTAATCACTTATTTATCTTAACTGAAAAAGGAAGTATATCACTCGTGCTATACATGTCAAACCTTCTCGACCATTTTTCTTTCTTCTTTTTTTTCTTTCTTTCTCTTTCTATTTCTCTCTCTCTCTCTCTCTCTCTCTCTCTCTCTCTCTCTCTCTCTCTCTCTCTCTCTCTCTCTCTCTCTCTTTCTGTCTCTTTCTTTCTTCTATCCTTGCTAACCACGAATAATGGAAATGTGGCTTTTGCGGTTTTTGCCTCGCCACATCACACGAACGCGCATATTTAACTATCTCAGAGCGTGCCACTGTCGTCTTGACGCGAATAACCGAGGGATGGGCTTGTTACGAACGTTCTCGTTTGCTTTCTACAATTCGATAATATTATTTCAATTTATTAATACTAATTGTATTAAGAACGTATATTAAACAATTACAAAGCCGAATTCTTTTATTAACGTACTGAAATGAAATGGAAAAATACAAAATATAAGAAAAAAGCTTTCAAAAACTAAAAAATATTCCATCGAATCAATAATAATATATGTGAAATGCATGAATAATAATGATAATAAATAATAATATAATAATAATAATAATAATAATAATAATAATAATAATAATAAAAATAATAATAATAATAATAATAATAATAATAATAAAAATAATAATAATAATAATAATAATAATAATCTGTAATTCAGATATAGATGTTCCAAGAAATCGAATAATCAATGACGTGAATGATCAGTGAGTTAAAGTTTTGTTTACCCTATTAGGCATTTAAAAGTGTTATGTCTATCCCAATTTGTGTAAGTTAACAAAGTACGGAATTCTATAGATTGGATACTCCTCGCAGGGAACTCATCCACTCTCTCTCGTGTAGTAGAAACGAAGGGAAGTCATCTTTGAAGGAGTAGCATGGAAGAGATCGATCGGAAAGTGCTTTCGAGAAGACCGCGGTAGACGTCGTCGACTTGAGGTTGTGAGTTGCACGCGACAATGGCTGGCGTGGGCGGCTGCGACGTTCTTCCTCAAAGGTGTTTAGAAATCAGAGAGTCGGGGCTCGCCTCGGAGGAGCCCTGGAGGAGTCATTGTTTCATCGCCATTCCAGCGAACAACAAACAACGATGACGAAGTTTCGAGAACGACGATTCTATGCTACGAAACAGCTACTCTTGCATAACGATCTGATTGTTTATAAATTATACAACTATCTTTCAATATACGGCGCCTTACTTATTCTCGTTCTTTACGATTATGATCGTGTAAAAGGGGTTAAAAAATATAGATAAGAGAAAAGGATGGAACAATTTTTGGAAGAGTTTCTATCATCGAAAGAGAACTTCTCTCTTGACTTATGACTTCCGTTTGGAACATTCAAACTTCAACGAACGATATACACGAACCGTTTCTATTTTCCGATGAGTTACAACTTCCTTATTTCGATAAGATATGTCGATACGTTGGAAACAACACGATCGAAAGTGCATTTTAAGATTTAGAAGAATAGAGAGGAAAAGGAACTACATAAAATCCTTAAGAATTGAACGTTAATTAAATTACTCGATTACATAACAATGAATCAATTATTTTCTATGTTTCTGTTTTTTTTTAAATATATTTTCCTTATCGAAAATACATAAATGACAATGTATAAACAATATTCCTTACTAACTAAACTCACAGACGGACGACATTCCAAACAGAAAGATAAAGGTTATCGAAGTCTAGTCTCCATAACAGACGGCACCGACTTCGTAAGAGGTACCGCAGACGAGAAAGAACTTAACGGGAGAAACGGGACGAGAAGGGAAGGAACGGTTTTGGGCTGAAGAAAAATGCAAAAGACCACCTAGATCGGAAAACACGAAAACATGATTCTTAAGTATAGTTCGTGTTAACTTCGTGATTTAAAAGTCTCGCAGACCAAATGTAAAACGTTTGGAGGAACGCGTCTCACGGTTTAGTCGAGATCGAAAATTTATATCGTCTCGTAGGTGCCATTACTTTTTCTTTTGAATTTGTCGATACAATTTTCAACTTTTCTCTTGAGATACGTCTCATCGCGGGAATTAAATGGCCGCTATTCCATTTATATCGATGGATGCGTAAATGCAGTAAGTATTTGTTTTCTACGCTGTGAACAAACGAACGAAAAGACGAGGGACCACCTTGTCGCGAATGTTAGCTTTTAGCGTTCTACAGAGTTTTAGTATCCTTTGCAGGACGCCTCCATAGTCGTTGTAAAGATCAGGATTTCAGTGTGATGCCAGCCACGTTTTAAACTGAGCGACGACCGTCGTTTGTCAGATGTTTCCTGTGCTCCTCCGAACTAGGAAATGTTATCCTTGAGAGAAAGAAAATGAAGAAGAAGATGAAGAAAAGAGAAAGAAGAAGAAGAAAAATGAGAAAGAGAAAGATAACGGGTCTTTACTAAATAATTCATCTTCATTCCACATTCACCGATCAACGACGACAACGACGACGACGACGACAACAACGACGACAACGTGGACTCGCTTTAAGACTCGAAATCGATTCTACAGAGGCTCCTCCGAACGTCGTATTTTTTTCACGGTCACGCAAAGAGAGTAGTGAGAGCATTTGTCGGACTGTAAATTGGCTGGCATGCGAGAGAAAGAAAGAGAAGGAGAGAAAAAGTAAGAGAAGGAGAGCCTTCACCATCGGCTCTTGTCGCCCGAGGTTTGCCAGTGTCGAGGTCCGATTCAACAATGGCTCCTCTCCCAGAGAAAAATCGCTGCACACGAAGCTGCACACGCGCACGTCCAGAGGAAAAGAGAGACGGAGACGAAGCCGAAGAAGAAGGAGAAGAGGAGGACGAAGAAGTAAGTAGAAGCGGCGCGCGGTTACATTAACAAACAATGGCTTGGAGGGGTTCGCGTACGCTCGAGGAAAGAAATGATGCTTACGCTGCCGGACGAGTTCTCTCCAAGACGAAGAGAAAACGCGAAGAAGAAGAAGAAGAAGAAAAGGACGAAGAAGAAAAAAGAAGAGAAATCGACGTCGAGAAACGGAAGCCAACCACCGCTAGTCGTTGAGTCTTCAGCTAACGAGATGTAACTGAGGAACGTTTCTTTAAATCCTTCGAGATGTTTGTAAGCGTGGCTTGTTTTATTCCATTCCAACTGTAATCAGGGGAGGAGGGGTAAAATTTTATAAAACGAGACGAGAGACGATGTCGAATAGTACCTAGGGAATAATTTGTCTGCGAGAGAAGAAAGGGCAAAAGGATTATGTAACAGATTTTCAAGCTTCTACTTATACGGGATGTTTCAGTGAAAAGCATGGGAGGTTCAAAGTAGTCGAGACTCTGTTTCTGTTTGTCTGTTTGTCTCTCTATCTCTCTCTTTATCTTTCTTCTTTCCTCACGGTCAAAGATTCTTCCTCTTCGTATGTGAGATGCGTCTGGTACCTTCATTAGAATAATTGCGTAGCGCGGTATGATTAAGTGCACCCTATACATTTTTAGACGTTACACGTACGAACTTTTTTTTTATCATTTCCTTGTACGGATACGCAAATTGCACGTAAATGATTTGCGTATCTGTGTTTTTAATCATTATCATTGAAATAAATCGATGAAAAATCATCTTATATCTTCTCTATCCATATCCCCATATCCAAATCAAGAAATTTGATCGCTAAACGTATCTTCTTCCTAAAAAATGAGAAAGTCTCTAAAACATGATCCCATTTATACAAAGGTCACTTCTACGGACAAACTTCTCCCACGCTGATATCATTTCTATTATTATCTGTATCTCGTGTCGTTGCGAATGACGTCGTCCATACCGACATCGTCCAGCTCGTCGTCCACACCGCGAGAGAATTAGCAAGCACGAAAGACAACTATGTATGACCCCGAAGTGAAACGGTACGCGGATAACGTAGTTACTTAGTTACTTAGTAACTTCAAGGAGCTTCATGGAGAAGCAGGAAGCAGGCGAAAGCAAGGACTACGAGGAGCAAGAAGACATCGTGTCTTTACAACGAACAATAAGAACAATAAGAGAATAAGACGCGTCCATTCGTCCAAACGTAACACCACGAGCATTCGTTCCCACGAATCTCTTAGATGCTTTCGAAATTTGTAACTCGTCTCTAACGGCGAATGCAAAGAAACGAAATGAGAACACTACAAATGATTTAAAACACTTTTACGGGCACATTGATATATCACTGTATCCGTGTTACAGTTTTTAAAAAAATTACGAAATTGATTATTATTTATCACACGTTATTTTTTTTAATACGCAATTATGAAAATATTTATAGATTTTAATTTTCTTCATTATTTGTTTGTTCATTAACTAAGATATTATTTAGAGAATCTTAGTATGCGAATATTGTTCTAGATTATGAATAATCAATTATCTAAGAATGTTTGAATTTATTCTAAAAAATAAAAACCGCGAGAAAACCCTTGACTGAAATCTGACTCTTTTTATATCAATGTTTCATAAACTATAAAATTGAATAAATGTTCCGCGAAAAATTATAAAAATTAATATTATTTTATTATTTTTATTTATTATGTTTAACATAATTAAAATTGGAGAATAAATGTTTGTTTTGTCTTCTTAACCGTTATATTTATTTGCTTAATTTATTAAGTTATTAATATCTACCTTCCCCCATAAAATAACCAATGTGTACCATTAAAAATTTTAGATTTTACGAAGTGTTCCATCATAGAAAAAGTTTCAGTATAATGCTATTTTACAAAATACAATAAGAACAACCTAATCCTAGAAAAAACAAATCCCTAAAAGTATTATAATTCAATACCATTATATAAAATAGAATTGAAGCAATCAACAACTTAAATAAAAACAAGGTTAAACCTAAAGAAAAAACAGAATCTCCAAAAATATTACAATCATTCTCAATTTTAACGTGAACATGTTTTTCCCGTGACTCTCGTGTCTCATTGGCATCGTTTCCGCGATAATTGTGGCAACGAGATGCCACTTGACTCGTGCCACTGCACTCTCTCTCTCTCTCTCTCTCTCTCTCTCTCTCCTCCGTCTGTCTGTCTGTCTGTCTTTCTCTTGTTCACGATGCGAATACTATGGTAATCCAAAGAAGGATCTTAGAATGAGAAGAAGAAGAAGACGAAGAGAAGGAACAGAGAAGAGAAGCTGGTAAAGCAAAATGGTGGGGAGACGACTGCACGGGCCTTCAAACACGCCGCCCGCGCGCTGCACGGTAGGAGAGCGCGTTTCGTACATGAATGGTAATGGGGGAGAGGGGGGGAAACGAGTTCTCGTTCCGTGTGCACCGACGTAATCGCGTTATCTTAAGGCTCTGGACTGACCAGGCGCACCCGATCGGAGGACGATGAGAAAGAGAGAGAGAGAGAGAGAGAGAGAGAGAGAAGAAGACACGATATTGAACAGTTTTTTCTACATCCACATAAACCGATTCTCACTGACTTTCCATCAACTAAAATAATGTTTACGTATATCATCGAATAACTTGATAACGATCACAAGCAATCGTCGATGAAATGACGTGTAATCATCACGTGACTTTTTATATAAAAAATATGTTTTTAGAACGACGATAAATGTTGTTCTAATTGGTTAATCCTGATGATTAACTCATTCGATATATTTGTCGGATTATTTATTTCAACGTTTATAACGTCGAGGTAAATATAATATTATTCGAGGGAATGTTACATTAAGAAGTAATTATAATTACGAATTAATCGCTCGATGTGAAATGCGATTACATTCGAAAGAAATTAACTCTTAAATGACATTAAATTGTACGAAATAATGAAATACTCTCTCTCTCTCTCTCTCTCTCTCTCTCTCTCTCTCTCTTTCTGTTATTATTCCCTTTCCAGTTATATTCGTGAATAATCGAGAGTGTAATTTTCTTCTCAACGAACGATGACGATTAACTTCGATGGTAATAACTTGAAATTCCGAGATGGAATCACTACAGCAGAGCCGTCCTTCGTCCCTGTCATTTAATAATCTTAACGGATCGTGAGAAAAGACTCGGAGCCAAACTCAGATACGAACGAGATTCGCTTACGAAATCGTTCGGTGCGTGTGTCGAATCGATCGAGGACCGCAATCGTTATTCCCTTTCGATCTTTTATTTAATCTTACGCGTCGTGTTAATTGCACAGGAATGAGAATTAGTCGATAATTACCTGCCCGGAATGAGGAGTATAATGCCAACCGAGGACGCGTAGTAAGGCCATTCGTCCGGTGCGACCATTTTTCTTTTTTTGTTTTTTTTGTTGTTTGTTTTTTCTTTAAACCATTCCTTTGCAAATTCGATCATTACAAAAGGAATCATATTGAGTGGTATGCATTCCAAGGGACTGCGGAGTTCGTGTCAACCATTAGAAGGCACGATAGAGAAGCTCGTATACATAATAAAGGATTCGTGTTATATAAACTCGAGAAAAAGAAAAAAAAATAAAGAGAGAAAGAGAAAGAGAGAGAGAGAGGGAGAGAGAGAGGGAGAGAGAGAGGGAGAGAGAGAGTGAAAAAAAGAAAGGGAAACAAACAAAACCACGATGTGGAATCGTCGACGTCAATCTGAGTTCACGCCTCGTTCCAAGCAGTTAATTGCGGTGTAATCTTTTGGCTCCGTTAGGGACTCGCTATTATACGAACCATAAGAGGAAAAGAAAGAAAGAGAGAGAGAGAAAGGCACCGCCTTGAAAAATGGTTTTCTAAATGCTCGATGTGTTTTGTTTGAAATATCATACATATAATTCTATATCGTCTGTAACGTGCAGATTATAAAACGAAACCTTTGATAATGTTCTTCATAAATTAGCCTTTCAAATTGTGATGTAAAAAAAGGAAAAAAGAAAAAAGTAAAAAAAAGAAAGAAAGAAGGAAAAAATAAGCAGAAGATTCGTAATGTTTTAGAAAAACATGAAAAATGTATAACTTCATTCAATGCTTTTCAACGCGATCTGTTTTCTCCCACCTTCTTTATCTCTCTATCTTCCTTTCTCTCGTTCTACGTCCGGCCGTCGCTTTGTGTGGCTCTTTACACCACAAAGAAACCACAAACGGGGTGTCACTGTTCCATTGCGTGAGATAATGCATCGGCTTGCGTATACTTTTACGCACAAAAGCAGCTTCGCGGCAGGCTTACGTGCCTTTGTACAAGCCCTTCGTGCGATGCGAACGCTGCATAATAATGTCATTGCGGCATGCTCGCACGGTGAATCACGAAAGTTCAACGGTGCGAAGAGTTTTCTATTCATCCCTCTCCCTCCTCTTCACCCTTCCCCCTCGCTCTCTCTTTCTTCCCTAACCATTCGATTCATATTCGAAATAATACGATCGATAAGATACGTGAAAAAAACGTTCTATTGATCGAATTAACGTTGAAAAGAAATAATATCTATTATAAATATACATAGATATATAAGAAATATATAAAGTGACATATACAAAGATGATATTTTAGGATATATATCTTAGGATATTCTAAAAATCGAAAAATCCTTTCTTTTTGAGGCTAAATTTTTCTCGAATTGTAAAACTACAAGCCTAGGAAAGTTTCACATATCTGTATATTTAGATATAAAATTATATATATATGTATATACACACACATATATATATGTATATACATATATATATATACATATATGTATATGTAGGAAATATATATATATAAATATGTAGGAAATGAAACAGCGGAATACGAAGGCGTTTTTTCGAGATAAGTCGACTGCTTTTATCAACGTCCGACCGGTTATTCGGTTTGAATTGTTGTCAAGATAAGACGTGTGCACTAGTGACAGTTAACGAATAAATACTATACAATTCGAGTACGTAAATATAATGTACAGAACATATACGTGTGTTTGCCAAATCTAGTAATTTTGAGATAGTGGGCAGTTACAAATGTATCCAACCAAAAAATTTCTAAATTACAGTTCTAATTAAGGAAAAAAAATCTCTATCATGGCATCTTGTACTCAAATGGCTCTACAGTTGCCTGTTAAAGAACAGGCAATAGTGCTCGACTATGTTAATGGAATATCTGTTGAAGAGTACGTAACAGCAATTGGTCAAATAATTGGTCCCAAAAACATTGAATTTGTATCGCCAATCTCTAATGATTTTGTGTATATATTTCTTAATAGTAAGGAAATGGTGAACAAGCTCATAAATATTAATACCGTAATAAACATTGGAACACACGTTTTGAAAATACGTCCATTAATTCCAAGATCAATACGAATTATCTTATCTAACGTGTGTCCAATAATTCCACCCTTTATTATAGAAAAGGAGCTCGCCAAATTGAATGTCCAACCAATTTCGCAAATAATGTTCATCAAGCAAAATATTGACGATCCCAATTACGCTCATATATGTGGCTCGGATAGAGAGATGTACATCCAACTTGAGGATGGATCAAAATTACCAGAAATACTTGAGATAAACTATGATGATACAAACTACTCTATCCTGTTGATTATGGATGAAATCACGTGTAAAGAAGAACATACTAATGAAAACTCCAAAATAGAAACTCCAACAGAAAATATATTAAATATTAAAGATGAAAAAAATAATGAAAAAGATACCATGAATACTCAAATTAAAAAAATACATGAAGATGTTCCAGTAAGAAATTCAACTTGGATTCCTCAACCTAGTACATCAAAAGCTACTGAAATTATACCTTATCCAAAAATCTTTACTGAATCATTATCAACGTCGTTATTCACACATAATTTCAAAAAGGGTTCAGAAATGAAGAAAGAAAGAAGGCCAACAAACAGCAAAATCATATTACAAAATCAAAAGAGAACTAAGAGATCAAAACCGAGTAAAAAGGATATCTTTCAGCATTTACAACCAGCTAAAAATTTTATTATAGCCAATATGAAAAGATATCATCTCAATTTTCAAAGTATCATAGAATTAATATTTAATACCTATAGTTATTCAAATTTTGTCTTAATTGCCCGAAGTTATACAAAAGACATCCCCGCACTCATTGATTTGCTGTTAAACATTAAAGAGTTTATTAGTAACCGACCCTTAAAAAATCAAATCGCTAGAATAATTAGAGGTCTAATAATGACTACCAATTAAATTCAAATTATTGTTACTACTAGATATACGTACATATATAACCAAATGTATGAGAAAAAGGATTATCCATACTATAACTTAATTCCAAGTAGCCAATACAGTTTCAAAATTAGGGAGATTGTGCACAGTGTATGTTCGAATGTTCGAATGAATTTCCAAAATAAGATTAACAAATGTAATTTACACTACATATGTAGTTACATATATATATATATATATATATATATATATATATATATATATGTAATATATTCAAATTAGAACAAATTTTTACTGAGGTTTCAAACGTTTAATACAAAAAAAATATTTTAAAGAAAAATAATAAAAAAAGAACGACCAATATTTGATCGGTCGATAAAACGAACCAAAAAATGCAAAATTTTATTTGGAACAATCTTGCTGTACAAATTATTTGATATCACAAAAAAAAAGAAAGGAAGAGCAAGAAATTATTTAGACATATCAAACTATCAAAGAGATTCCACCCATGTTGCAAATGAGCCTCGCCGTATTCCGGTCGCTTTTAATTCAGTACTCAATTTGGATTAAAATCCATAAAATCCACCATTACGAACCGATACAATGATTGACCGATAGCATTCGAAGAACGCTGATCGAAAAGGCTAATGATCGTAAAATGTCAATAAAATCACGGAATTTTCTATTCATCATTATTTCTTTGTTTACTCTTTCTCTTTGGATCCGAATTTTCGATGGTTATGCATCGGCACGCGACGAGTAATTACTATTAAACGACCTTTCTCTCTCACTCTCACTCTCTCACTCTCTTACTTTCTCACTCTCTCATGTAAATGACGCGTGAGGAGTATATTTCTTTTGAGGGAAAAAGATGGACCCATTGATTCTGATCGATTTCTATTCATTTTAAATTTTCCAAACAATTCGACGATCCTATTCACCTTTTTTCCACCAACGAAAAAGAGAAAGTATTCCACTGAGCGAATCATTTCTGCCAGTCCCTTTCAGTTCATCCTTTCTTTATTTTATTTTTCTTTTCTTTTTTTTTCTTATTTCTCTTCTTCTTTCCTTTTCTTTTCTTTTTGCTTTTGTTTTCGTTCTTTTTATTCTGGAATTCAGGTTCGGACGGTCTAAGGAAATATCACGACTGGGTGGTCCGTTTCGGTGGCTACATTGAGACGTCAGCGGTACGGTAACTCGGCCGAGTTCCTCTCAAGCTAGCGTGCGTTCGTTCCTGCAAATCGTGCCGACTCTCGAAAGAAGCTTGAAATATCATGCAAGGAAGAAATCTCTCTTTCTCTCTCCCTCCCCTCTCTCTTTCTTTTTTGAAGAAAGAAGCAAACACTACCATTATCGATCCCGCGCCAACGACGTTTACGTTGCCGAAAATCAAGATCACCCAAGAAGATTGTACAAAAAAACAAAACCGCATTTACATTACACATGACTTTTTCAAAAATGTAGCCTCTATAAATATTATGGAAATAATTTTTTAAATTATAATTATAACACCCTAACAACAATCAAATATTTATACGTTTATAAGTACAAAAATGTATTTATAAGTCAAAATAAGAGTACATCATTTATTATTAAGATTTATTAAAATAAATATTTATAGATGTCCTTTATACATATTCAATAAATATTAATAACAATTAATTAAATAAAATAAACAAATAATTAATTAAAATAAATATAAAATATCATAATAAATATAAATAATCATAATCAACATAAATAATCGTAAATAAAAACATTGTACTACTTAACGATTTATATCGATATTAACCTATAAAAGTATGATCATAGAAAACTATACGAAGAACAATACAGTGGCATGTTGAGAAGAAAGATTGAGAGAGAAAGAGAGAGAGTGATAGAGAGAGAAAGAGAGAGAGTGATAGAGAGAGAAAGAGAAAGACGGAGAAAGATAGAGAGACAGAGAACAGTGACAGATCGACGATCTACGAGAACCACACAAAAGGATCAGGATTAATTCTACGGAAGAGAGAATGGTCGAGGGTGAGACGTAGGAGAGAAACTTCGTGCTTGTGCAACGAACGAACGAACGAAAGAACCAACGAACCAACAGCGATCTGCAGTCGAGACGCATACGGAATACGTATGCCAAGAGCATGGGCCCTCACGCGCATCGATCTCGCAATACGGATCACCGCATTATACGAAGTCGCTCTTAAAACCGCTTTTAAGGCTCGAACACGAGACACGAGGTGCTCGTGACATTGCACTGTCTATGATAATACGACACGCGAACTCCATGATCTGCTCTACGTACGACGATATTCCTGTTTCTACCAGCTCCGAATGATTATAAAATTCACTCTCTCTCTCTCACTCTTTCTCTTTCTCTTTCTCTTTCTCTTTCTCTTTCTCTTTCTCTTTCTCTTTCTCTTTCTCTTTCTCTTTTTCTTTCTCTCTTTTTACTGTGAAAAATCCTTACGGAAAGTTATTTCATACAATGTATATTCTTTTATCTTATAATTTTCGTCAACTTATTCCAATAAAAAATTATATTTATATGATAAATAGATATGTAACTATAATTGAATAAGTTTAATATACAAATGTATAATATATATGTAATTATATATACAATATATATTCAATATATTCAATATATATACAATATATATACAATATATATTATAATGTATAATAAATATTGTAATTAATCCAATAAAGTGAAAATCATTTATTAATCACAAACACAAAATTGGATATAAAATATTTTTATTTTCGTTAGAAAAATTTTTTATTCATCATTGAATTGTTATTCATTTTTTTAAAGTAAAAGAGATGCTTATGTTACCACCAGCCCAATTCTTTGAAATTGCTAAATTGTTAAATCATCTAATGAATTGTTCTTACGTTTTTTTGTAAATTATACGAAACGTAATATACACTCTCCTTCTTAACACTCCTTCAATTAATTATTTATCTTTGGAAATGAGCAAAAATATATAATATCAATTTACAAAGAAAAATAAATAATATTGCGACGTAAACGAAAATATAAAAATAAAAAAAAAAAATAAAAAATTTTAAAAAATATTCACTATTTTTTTTTAGAATACATAAAATAATTATATTATGTAGAATAAAATGATAGAATCACTAGCTAATTATTATAATTATTTTACGACATATACAAAATGAAAAAAAAAGAAAGAAAATAAAAATTGAAGATTTCTATTATATAAGATTCCATTTCATTAGGTATTAAAAGAGGTTAAGGATCTCTTCTTTCTTATTCTCTCCCCATGATATTTCGCGGTCACGATAGTACGTGTAATGCTCGACACCTTCCTCTTTATTTTTCCTTGAGCGTACCGCGAGCTCGGTTCACCGCTGGTATTCAGTAACTCGGTCACTTTGCTAATAAAATCGCGTACGTGTTATCAAATTTGCAAACTACTTTCATTCATTTTCTCTACATACTTTCGAACATTCTACAAGATTAAAAATGAAGAAAAAATAAAAACAGGAAGACGAATAGACATATAGAAAGAAAGAAAGAAGAAGAAGAAGAGAGAGAGAGAGAAAGGCAATGTTTGTTATATTTAGAACAAAAATATATAATTCGAAAATTATAGTATTACTTATACTAATATAATTATACTATATTAAGTATATGTTAACTTATGTTAAAAAAGAATAAAATTAAAAACCTTTATAAAATGAAATTGAATCAAAAATACAAAAAAAAAAAAGAAAAAAAAGTACGCGCGCGTGTGTGCATGTAACTGAAAAAGTTATGAATTGGCATTATAGAAAGCTCAATTTCTTTGCGGACCACACGCATTCACTACACTCATTTACGACTAACGATTATTCATGCGTGTGTATCCGGCGATATAACGACATACCGTGCACCTACTATTCATGTATGTAGGTATATGTGTATGTATATAAATATATATAAAATGTGTAAAGCTAATGCACCATGACACCACTAATTTTAATAATAATAAGAATTTAGGTATTAAACGCAGGCCCCGAAAATCCACGCGTTTTTCACATCCAATCTAAAGAATATCTAAACGTGTAT